AATGAATGATAAATAAATTAATAATATAAATTTATTTATATATTTATTATTTTCCTCATTTAATAATTTTATTTTAGGTACAACCGGTGCTATACAATACCAGTAAAAATAACACATCACACACACAGCCTCTTCACATAGTAGCAGGTTGAATCCAAGTTCCAATCACTTTCAGTCACTCTTCCAGATCGAAAAGCTCCAACACTTCCTCCCACAAATGGCCAAGCTCCATAAATCACAGCCCTCGCTTTTTGTCGACCCCGTCTATTCATCAGCAATTACACTCCTCATCATAGTTATGGCGTGCGCGGAGCTCTGCGACGCTGTCACGGTGGTCGACGTGTACCGCCTTGTTCAGTACGATCTCGCCGGCGTGCCTTTCGGGTCGCGGTTCGCCGCCATTAACCACCACGCCGGCTCCTCGATGTACTCGCCCTCCGCTGCCGCGGCAGCTGATCTTTCCCGCTCCGTGCTTATCCTACCTGTCCGCGAATTGAATTTCACTTTCATTAGAGGTCTCTTTGTTTGAAAGTATCAGCCTTTTTTTCTTTTATATATATTTTCCGGGTATTTTAGATGGCATTTAATGTTTGTCTGAGTTTCTGAACTTTCGGTAGCTGTTGTGGGTTCGGCAAGTGGTGACATGAGATGCAAATTTAGCCAAGGAGTGGTTTTCTAATTAGATTGTAAAGGTTATATCAAATGGTTCAGTATGGAAAAGTGTGAAGATTGAATTTTGGAAACCGGTGGAGTCGAGTTGAGCTGGAACTGCAGTAGTTAGGAAAAACAAATACAAGAAACCTGGAAATTTGGTCTGAAAGAAAAAAAGGTCGACTTTGGTTGAGTTTGTGAATCTAAACCATTAGACAAAACATGTTGGATCTTTTAAGCTAAAATGAGGTCCTATTACATTGGTACTTGGAGTTATCTGGCTACTGCTTGCATTTGCTGCAACCCCCTTTTGTAGGATAGTGGAGGAATACTACCCGGCCTTCTTAAAATTACAAGCCTTTTCAGTTTTCTGTGTTTCTAAATGCCTTTCAGCGGTTTAAATATGTGGAGTAATCAACAAGATAAAAAGAAACTTCTGGAAGTGAAATAACTTAAATATTGCTGATTTTAGCTTCAAAACACAAAGATATTTACTTAATTGCACTGTCTTCGACACCCTCTTGAATCTTGATGCACCTGACTGATCTTTGTACCTGCTCATATGCTTGTTTCATTCAGTCTGCTGTATCGTTGAAATTAGTTCTTTTAACATTGCTTTGAGTTTCCATATTTTGGTGATTTTGAATAGGGAATTGATTCTTCTTATGTTGTGATTTTATTTGGTCCCAGTTCCTTTGGGATCTTCATTGTTATAGGTCATAGTATAAGTTCCTTCTCTTGAAATAATTTGACTGTCATCAAGATTTCTTTTGTGACTTCATTGGCATTGAGACTGCCCTGAGTCCGAGATGTTGTTAAGAATCAATTGAAATGATTTGAGCTTCTTTCTCCAACTTCTGCTAACTTTTGGATTCCCTCAATGTTACGAATTTATGTTATTACATTATATAACTGAATCATCAGCGGTTGCTCCATCGGTTATGCTCAATTCTGATAGCAATCTGATTACATTTACATGAGTATGCCTCTCTTCCACAACTGCTTGATCAACTCTTTTCCTGGAATTTAATGGCAGATTATATTGAACAGAGGAAGCCATTAGGTGGTCTCTTACTTCTACTTCCCCAAGTTTTTAACCCACAACATTTGGACGAGGTTGGTGGGTCTGATCAGGACTCTGCACACGTTATTAAGGATATGATAATTAAAGTGGAGCGGTTGCTTGTACATCAAAATATCCCTGTGAGTGAAAATGATTTTTCTGTTCTATTGGTAATCATTCTGCATCTATATTTTGGTGCTTCATTTATATCTGAAATGAAACTTCTCTGCCAAAGTGCCAACCATATATCTAGTTCACGTTCTGATAAGGCCTTCTTATGTCACAGTATCCTGTTTACTTTGGTTTTGAAGATGAGCATGTTAATGCTATGCTTCATGATGTCAAGAAGAATGATGCTGCTGGTCAGCCGGCAACTGCGACAACTGGCGGGTAAATTGATTAATCAAACTAATGGGAGAAATAATTATTATCTGAAATATCTTCATTTGCTGCTCTTTTCTGTCTACTGGGGTTCAAGAAAGTACACTACCCAACACCCAAATTACCCAGAAAAGAAAAAGGAAAGTCGATAGTTATTTTCATCTCCATGCATGACTTGGAATTAAATCTCAACTATAATTGCCTGCACTATCTGCTGTTGAACAATTTATTGTGTGTGCTCGCTGATAAGTCAAGTTCACGAATTCACATAGGCATTCAGACCATGCTTTCTTGTACCAGTATAAGCTATAATTTACATTCTTTTTGTGGCCTTCCTTCGAGTGCTTTACAATGAAATGCAGGAGCATCAGTCTGCCATGATTGCAGTAATTATCTTATGCCAGCACCAGTGATATTGTACCCTGTAGGGGTGTAGCACTTTTATTCTTATTAAACTCCTTATTTCCAGCTGTAGAAAGGATAGAGAAGTAAATCTTATTGCTTACCTAAAATCAGTTGAGTTGGGCACACGAAAGTTCAATGTGTTCTTTAATTGGTAAGCAAATGTATAGCAACTGACATGCTACTGCATACTATTTACTTTTTATCAGCTGTACGTTTCCTTTGTATGCTAGTTAAATATCCACATTGATTTTCAGATTTGGGTCCACTTTGTTAGTTAAGAAGTTTTTATTTCTGAGTTCTCGATTTCATCTTGTGTTGCAGAAATTATAGTTGTGGTATCTCTTACTTTTGGTTGTCAGTCATGCTTAGTGTCCATGCTAGGTATTGATTGGAGATGTAAATTTCAGACTAGCCACGTTACAATTAACTCTCACCAAAACGTTTCAGATACAAGCTTGTAATTGCTGCACCAGAGCCCAAGAAAGTTGCTTCTCCTTCCATTATAAATATTCAGGTTTTAGTTATGACCTTCATATTTTTAGTTGGGTGGATGAATTGATTCAATGCCATGCTATGTTTCTGAGTCATTGTTTGGACAATATTGACTACTTTCAAGTGATCAAATGTTTAGCCACCTTTATGAATTTTAACTGATTGTAAGTTTTCCAAATCTTTTTCTATATCAGGGATGGCTTCCAGGATTAAAAACTGATGGAGATTCTAATCAACTACCTACTATAGCCATTGTGGCATCGTATGATACATTTGGAGCTGCACCAGTTAATAATTGATTCCCTCAACACGGTTTCATGTTTTATTGAAAGTATATGGACTTATGACATCTTATTGCTTGCAGGCATTGTCTGTAGGAAGTGATAGCAGTGGTAGCGGTGTTGCAGCACTTCTGGAAATAGCTAGATTATTTTCAATTTTGTATTCAAACCCTAAGACAAGAGGAAGATATAATTTACTCTTTGCCATGGCATCAGGAGGACCTTATAACTACAATGGAACTCACAAGGTGCTTGTTTGATTATATTTATCTCTTGTTTTTAAATATACATGTGTGTATGGGTGTTAATCGTAATAATACTTTTGTACATTCTCTTTGCAGTGGCTTCGTAGCATGGATCAGCGTTTGCGTGAGACCATTGATTATGCTATATGCTTGAATAGCATTGGCTCTTCTAGCAATGAGTTATGGCTTCATGTGTCCAAGCCTCCAGAAAATGCCTACATAAAACAAATATTTGAGGTTACCCCACCTCCAAATTTGTGAGGAAGGATTAATGTTGTAAGACAACTATTATTAGTTTGAAGGGGTAATTACAAAAATGATTCCTGACCTGAGCTTTTGAAAAATCAATATAGTTCCTTGAGAGGTTTTGTTTCTTCTAGAAAAAAAAAAACCCTTCAAATTTGTGAATGTGTTACAGTTACCCCTTAAATCTAGTGTTCAACCAAAACTCCAGAGTTAAGGACTTTTCTGTAGTTTTAAAACATAGAATTTTTTTTTATGTAACCAAACCAATTCTAAGGGATAGCTTTTGTAGTTATCCTGTACTTTCAATGATTTATGTCTTGTTTACTTGTGTCCATGCAGGGTTTCTCTAGCGTGTCGGAAGAATTGGGGCTAAAAGTTGGTCTGAAGCACAAGAAGATCAACATCTCTAATCCTCGAGTAAGTTCATTTTACTTTTATAATTTCTAAGTCTCGAAATTGTATGTTCTTCCTATGATACTCTCTTGAAAAGCAGAAAACAGCTGTACTTCCTAAAAATCTACAAGGATTCATGAGAATTCATGATCATACAGTGTAGCTTTTAACTTCTCTTTGAGGTGGTCAATCCCATGTAAGCTAAGTTTCATACTTCTTCTCTTTAGGTGATAGGTGTAAGCTAAGGCTCATTATTTTTATACGTGAGAACGAATGTTCGCTCTGTATCACAGACACTATGTTGTCCTAAGTAGATTACAAGGAAATCTCTTCTTTCTCTATAGTATGGTTTGTGTGATCCTAATCTCTGTTTCTTATTTTCTTCATCATTTTCATCAGCTTCTGTGGCCATTTTGATTATTCTTTTAACTTATTCTAGGTGGCATGGGAGCATGAGCAATTTTCAAGGCTGAGAGTCACGGCAGCAACTCTCTCTAAACACTCAGTTGCGCCCGGTTTCCTGGAGAGCACTGGCAGCTTATCAGATAACAGGTATGGCTTAAAATGGTAGTACCTTTTCTTTTGGATATCAAAATTCATTTTCTTTTTCTCGAATGAAGTTTTTATTTCGAGACCTTTGTCATCTCCACAGAAATTTCATCAATGAAGTTTCGCTAATTCGAAGTGTCAAATTAGTTGCTGAAAGCCTTGCAGTAAGATATTGTCTTTAAATTTCTTTCGCTCTGATTCTGTTGGATATAGATGAAATTTAGAAGGGTTCTTACATTTTTTTATGGTATATCCAGAGACAAATCTATGGTCAGCAGGGAAAAAATGTTGATATTCTTGCAGATCATAGTAGTTTATCCATAAATCCTTCTTATATACGTTCATGGGTAGAGATTTTGTCAACAACACCTCGAGTGGCTCCATTTTTATCAAAAGATGATCCTCTTATTGTGGCATTTAAAAAGGTATGATTTGTAAGACTGTCAGTTTCTTTTTAATCATTTCCATGATAGTTTGTCTTCTGGTCACGATTTTAACTCTTATTTTTTCTCAGGAATTATCGGAGCACACTATTGAAGTGAATGTACAGCAGGAACCATTAGATGGGGTGTTCACTTTTTATGATTCAACTAGCGGCAAGCTACATATCTATCAGGTACCTATCCAAATTTGTTTCCTTAACAGTCTCACTCACAGACAAATAACATGCATAAATGCAGCAAAATAGTGTCTAATATTACTCTCGTTTACAGTCAGTCCTACCGTAATTGATTGTTTATATAAGGGTGTACTGAATTCTCATGTTCTTTCAGGTTAAGAAAACTTTCACTTTTATTTTGTTAGTAACTTTCACTCTGTCAGGATAGCCATATAAATGGTCGTAGTTTATAGGTTAATTCACTTGTAATCCATCAACCAATCCCTGCATTACGTTAGCACCACACAACCAGTACTTGAAATGTATTATATATCTCTATTGAGCATGGCACCTGGAATGAGTGAATCAAACTTCCTTTAATTTGAAAGAATAATCAGTTATGATTATAATTGCATGCTGCAGGTTGCAAGCGTGACTTTCGACTTGCTTTTGCTGCTTGTTCTGGGATCATACTTGATTCTGCTTTTCAGCTTTTTGGTTATCATCACCAGGGTATGAGAAAGAAATTTCCTCCTTTTCTGAATAATAATAACAATAACAATAATAATAATAATAATAATAAT